TAAGATATAGTTTTTAATTAGCAAAAGAAAAAAAAAAAATCATCCTACTTTATATAATCTACTTTAGTTAAAATATATAATATAATTAAATAAAAGGTTAAGTGCACAAAATTTCTCTATAATATGCTTATAGTGCATATCACACCTTAAGTTATACAAACCTTTTCAATGGGTATTGTTTTCATGTTCTGAGTGGAGTCCCGTTCTTACGCTCTGCGCGCGCTCTGACTCAAATTCTCACTATTTACGACTTAATTTTGTCACTCTCACGCTTCCGTTCTTGAATTCGTTCTCGCTTTATGTGACTTAGATCACACCCTTCATGTGCAAAAAACACTCCCAAAGTATTTATTTAATACAAATAAGTCATACCTAACATGATATGTCCAAACTATCCTCACTGGATATTTTACATAGTATTTATAAATAAATTTATTTTGTGAAATAATCGTGTAGTTAAACTTCTTCTTCTTTTTAAAGTGCATGTGGCTGACCGATCTCACCGGCTGCAATCAAGATGGCGACTTTCCGATTGGGTGAGTTCGGGGATGGAGATGGTGGTGTTCGTGATCAAAGGAGGAGGAGAGACACATATTTGATTGTCTTATATTTTCTATACATCGAAAACAGCTAAAATTCTACATAGTTCAAAAGTAAGGATGTTGCTCTTCCAAAGATTAATCAATCATTAATTAAGACGCTAAAGTAAATTATCTTCTATAAAAGATTAAATAAGATGTCAAGTAATTCTCCTTGGTGATTGATGCATATGCATGAGTAACCAAACCAATATAGATCCAACTTTTATATCTTTACACGGACGGATCAAAAAAATTATGTAAGTGGGGGCGACCTTTAACAGCAACAAGAAAAAAATCAAACTATTATAAAAGCAAAAAAATAATTCAAACAATTATAATAACCTTCTGTATAACGTGTTTGATGGTTAGATTGATACTTTCAGTGGTTTGGGTCATTGACCCTTTCTCTTTAAAGGAGCCCAATGTGGATTTGAGGGGATAATAGTACTAATTTTTAAAAATTTCTGTGGGGGCAATGGTTAATTTTTATAGGTATATATTTCAAAATAATTTTCTTACGGGGGGTAAAAAAAAAAAAACTCCAGTGGGGTCAACTGCCCCCACTAGACTCTGAATGCTTCCGCCCTTGTCTTTACACATGCCGCACCTAAAGATGACAAGTTACATTGTATTATATATATTTTTAGTGGTGGAGAATATATTTGACATGCACCTAACATCCTTTTACTTTGAGATTATCAGTATACGTTGCTTTGAAAATTTTCAAAAATATAGAAGGATAAAATGAGTATTCTAATATTATTTTATGTCAAATTTTTATTTAAAAGTGTTTGGGCACAATATAAAAGTGCAACCATTTATCATTTAAATAAATAATATAAATTCTGGAAACGGTTATTTAATATAGTAAGTCACACAAACACGAGGATTGGCATTCCCAACTTGAAAGAAAAGAAAATGAAAATTATATGGAAGTCCAAGCCGAAGATGTTGAGAGGCTGCCAATGTGGGGCTTATTACCATATATATAATTATATGTGTGTGTGTATATATATATATATATTCCCCGTAATATAGTATTATAAATTATGATATGATATGTACATATCACTTATGGAAGGAAATAATAATGGAAATTGAGTTAGCAGTCCAAATGAATGCGTCACTTAATCCTAAACCAGTTACACACGACTCACAACAGTTGACAATCCATGAGGTAATGCTCACTTGTGTCACCTATTGACAACTCACAACAGCTGTTTTTCAAATTATCAGTATGAAATCTAATATCAAATCATACCACATGGACCACACCTATTTATATATCTCTCACTAGACGTCTCAATACAGTCTAGACGACTTGTGATACAATAGTTGCAATTCATCATCTTATATATATATATATATATATATTGTTTGGATTAAATACGATATAGAGAGTTTAACTATATTTAGACAATTCGGAAGAATTAATTAGATTCTAAATTAAATCATAATCCGATTAATGTTTCAGTAATTAGAGATAACAACTACTCAATTATGGACTATGCTTTTAATACTTTTTAACCACGACGTGAAATCGATTCAAACAATCACGTAATTTCATCATTAGGGTTACGTATGTGCTGAGAGCCATCAATGTATCCATTGTGTGTGTGAAAGAGAGAGAGAGAGGGGCTGACCTGATGGACTAAAGTCTAAAGCAAAGAAAAATTGAACTCCACAAAATAAAAAGTCCACCCCCACCCCCTTGAATGCGAAAATAGCACCATCTATACAATAGCATCCACACCAATTGATATAAATGTGGGTTGACAACTATGAGATCCTCGTGTTGACATTATAAAGAATAGTCGTAAATGTTTATCAATGCATTAAACGAATAAAATTATTTTGATATCATTTTTTTTTTTACTATTGTTCTTTATTAGAGTAGCATGATTTGAAGACGGGTTTTATTAAAAGGCTTTACTTACAAATGATCGACCTCTTCTGAAGTGAAACGAATAATCGAAGGTAGATGCTCATCTATGCATCAAAGATTAAAAGATTAAAAGTCTTTACTAGAGTAGCATGATTTAAATATTAAAAGCCTTTTCTTGCATATTTTTTTAGTTTTATTTTCTAATTTAGTGTGTAAACAGGTACTTATCATTTTAAAAAACAGAAAATTCAACTCTTAACTACAAACGACAACCGTTATCTCATAAAGTGGTGGGATCCACCACAGTGCTGTGAGACAACGGACTTTTTTTTAAAAAAAGATAAGTCATGACAAATCAAAATGGTTTGTTATTTTATTACAGCGCAGAGTGATTCATACCTGATTTTTTAAGGCAAAATTTAGTCTGACAAGTTACAACAATTAAACTATGAATATAACATAATGATCTAAAGAGTTATTCATGACATAATATCTATGTTGAATCGTTATTTAGTAAGGTTATTCTGACATAGGTCTCTTTTTTAGGCGGGCATAAAGAACATGTATCTTTGCCAAATTTTAAACATTAGGGTAGATCTCAAATTTTTTTTTTTTTTTGGACATACTTTCTTGTGAATTTACATTGTTTTTGACCGTAACATTTAAAAGAAAATAAATAACAAAGTAAACTTATTAGCATAATATCTAAAAGTGAATAAGGTAAAGTTTTTTTTGACATACTTCCTCGTGAATTTACTTGTACGACATTGTTCTTAACATAACATTTAAAATTGAATAAATAAATAATAAAATAAATTTATTAGCATAATATTTAAAAGTGAAAAAGAAGGTAAAGTTTGTTATTTGTGTTTAGTTTAAATAAGAATGACAACATGAACCCGTAATGCAAGGTGGACTTGCTGGTGGTTGTGTTGAAAATAACCTACAAGCATGCATTTAGGACAGAAAAAAGATAACATTATTTATTTATAGAATAATTTATTGGGGTTGGCAAGTTTTGGATCATTTCCAATGGAGCCTAATAATCTAATACAATCTTCATTAGTTACGCTTTAGTCTCTTCAAGTCCATCTTTATCTATTGTAATTTTTTTAAACTTATAGTGTGAATGTATAAAGAATAACTTTCGATGAACACTCCATAATTCATATCAATACAAATAATTCTTAAGATGAAAAACTAATTCCGACAATCGAAACGAGGAAATAAATATTTAATTAGGTGACATTATGTGTACCTCGTAAAACATATTTATAGGTCATATTCTTTGGCATATTTAGTATGATTTTTTTAGTAGCACTCCTTAGACTCGATAGGTTTAAGAATTTAAAATGATTGAAAATATATATAGTTTAAAACTTAAGTTAATAATTTAATTTTATGTATCAACTATAATCTGATTTGAGATGAATATGCATATGGAGTTCAAGTAACAAATACAAATACTTATTTAAAATTCATACCGATAGACTTTGGAGATGCAAGTATAAATGCAAATGCTTATTTGAAAATCATACCGATAGACATTCAAGCTTCAATTATTGTTAATAACTACATCACACATACTCTAAAGTAACACCACCGAATTCAACTTTAACAATCAAACTTTTAATGGGACTCAAATTCTTCAATTCAAATCAATGCATTTATCACAAAAAGAAAAGAAAGAAAGATGCAATAAATAATGTCTTGTGGTATAAATAATTATTTAAATTCAAAGAGTTAGTATTGTTTGATTACTCAATTTAGTTCTTAATTTTGAATAGATTAAGTACTTATTTAACTAAGTGTGTTTGATAATCCAATTTGAATATCACTTAAAACGGTAAGGTATAACTTAAAATGGAGTAAAATTTTAAATGATAGGACATCACCTATCGCTGAATAATGAACACAAAATTCGAAAGAATATTTAAAAATATTTATTTTTTAATTATTACTTAAAAACTTCCTTGCTCGATTTTTTGTTTTATTAAACCACACCTTAATGATATTTTAACTACGGAATATAACTTTGATTACAACCCTGTCGTCAATTGTCGGACTTCAAATAAGAAAGACACAACATTTGATTTTAAAAAAGAAAGACAATCACTAACCAAACCTTCAAATTAAACTTCAACGATCAAACTTTTAATGTAACTCAAATTCTTTAATTTAAATCAATGCATTTATCACCAAAAATAAATAAAATCAATAATGAAAATAACATATAAAGTGAATAGTATTTAAATTTGAAGAGTTAGTAGTATTGTAACTACAAATTTTATATACTAAGAATAGGTATTGTAGTACACGGGTAAAGTACTGATGTAAGGGAGAAAATACAAAGCTCACATTGTGGGTCCCAACCGCTAAACATTTGCCTTAAATTTCCACGAGATGTCCATCCTTCTCAAAGCGTAGCATGAGTTGCACCTACTGCCATCACACATGATCACAACCCTAATTCCTCACGCTCGTCAACCGCGCGTGAACATTCGCCCTTTAAATCTCGATTCCCTCTTTTGATAGCAGCCTCTCCCCCTCAAAATCTCTCTTTCCTACATTAGTTCCTCTTTCTCTATCTTCTTCTTCTCAGCTCGCTTTCACAAATCCGACATCTCTTCCAAGAACCTTCTCTCTTTCTCTCTCTACTTTCTCTCTCTAAAAACGAGTCTTGTCCATGGACTGGATTGGTTGCAAGATGAAGAAATCAAACACCAAACTACAATTAAATTAAGCATTTCCAAGAAAGGATTAGTTGGTTGATTATAAGTTTTGAATAAGAACAAGAAGGCAAAGAGAGAATTATCACAAACTCAAGTCATGAGACCGATTCAACCACCACCAGCTGCCGCCGGTGCCGCCTCCTCCTCCAACCGCAACCGCCAGCGGCGGCGTCCAGACCTAACCCTCCCTCTACCCCAACGCAACGCATCTCTAGCCGTCCCTCTCCCCCTCCCTCCCACCTCTGCACCGTCGTCGTCTTCGTCGTCAAACACGGCTCAGCTCCGCTCGTCGGCATCGGCAGTGAACTTCTCGGAGCTGGAGCGATTGAACCGAATTGGCAGCGGCACCGGCGGCACCGTCTACAAAGTACATCACCGACCTACAGGGAGATTCTACGCGTTGAAGGTGATCTACGGCCATCATGAGGAATCCGTTCTCCGCCAGATCTGCCGAGAGATTGAAATCCTTCGGGACGTCGATAATTCTAACGTGGTGAAGTGTCACGACATGTACGATCACGCCAGCGAGATTCAGGTACTTCTCGAGTACATGGATAGAGGTTCTTTAGAAGGGATTCACCTCCCTCGTGAATCCTCTCTCGCAGATCTCACCCGTCAGATACTCTCCGGTCTCTACTACCTCCACAGACGAAGAATTGTTCACAGAGACATCAAACCCTCAAACCTATTGATCAATTCTCGGAAAGAGGTCAAGATTGCCGATTTCGGAGTATCCAGAATCTTGGCTCAGACGATGGACCCTTGTAATTCATCGGTGGGCACAATCGCCTACATGAGTCCAGAGAGAATCAACACCGATTTGAACCACGGAAGGTATGATGGTTGTGCCGGTGATATATGGAGTTTAGGTGTAAGCATTCTTGAATTTTATCTGGGTCGATTTCCATTTGCGGTGGGGCGTCAGGGTGATTGGGCCAGTCTAATGGTTGCAATCTGTATGTCACAACCGCCGGAGGCGCCGCCTACAGCGTCAAGGGAGTTTCGGGACTTCATTGCCTGCTGCTTGCAGATGGATCCGGCGAGGCGGTGGACGGCTGCACAATTGCTTCGCCATCCTTTTATTACACATAACACAGGGAATATCAACAACCTCAACAATCAGGTTCATTATCATCATCCTCATCAACCATTACCTCCTCCACCTCCACATTTTTCTTCCTCTTGATTTTGATTCTGTTTTGTGTAATTTTCAAATATGATTAGTGGGTTGGATATCGAGTTTTAGAGAAGAATGGGAGGAATCGGTTGTGTTGTTGTCAAGTTTTAATCAATCAAATGTTTGTTGTATTCTCATCCTGTAAATTCTAGTTTTTGAGATTGGGCCCACTTGTAATATTGCATTGTTTTCCTCTTAGAGTTAAAATCTAGGCACCATAAGTTAATTGAAATTTTGGGCAGCGAAATTTCTTTTTCCCAACTTAGTTGAAATCCTATTGATGTGTAATGTGTTGTTGAAGAATCTAATTCAATCTGTTGTCTTTGTGATATTAATGCATGAATGATGAATGTAACACCTTCTATCATAATCATGGACATAAACACAGAAAAGGGTAAAATGCACATAGGGACATAATATTGTTTTTCTAACCACATGAAAAGTGGAACCTTTATCTTGTTAAAGAACCGTTTGAATGTTGGGTTTGATTGATATGTTCAGCATCATTGCTTTTGGTCATTCTTGAAAAAGAAACAATGCAATTTAACTCTTAATATTAGCTTGAGCATCATTAGGATATAGATCATTATTAGTATTTGTACAAAGTGATTGCCTCGAGATTTGAATTTGATTTCCGAAAAAACAAACTTTCTGTCATTGCACTAAACAAAGACTCTTACAAGGTAGAGAACAGAGCTTGACTTGAGTAGCATTTTGTCACACCCGCCACACAGCCACCCACCGGTTACGCGCTGACTGACACCTCATGGTGTCGGCATGGCAAGCTTAAGTGTTACCTTCTTGGATTATAGGACATCCCAATATGTGTTAATAGAGACATCTGACCACAATATGGTTATGTTTTTCTTTGCCAGTGAGATTAGTGGCTGTCTTCTATCTTATGCTTTCCTTTTGTTAGATAAGACATGAGTTGTCTACCTTATGCTTTCCTTTTCCCTTTCATCATTGAGATAAACATGAAGTTTCAATAATTCATTCCATGCTTTACCAGACCAGACTTTTCTTTTCACTCTAGGTTATTTTTTGGGCTAGGTGGGGCCCTTAAAAAGGCATGAGAAAATGCTTTGATTTTAAAGAGTTGTTTTGGATTAGAAACATATATTTGTATCACCGGGTACTCCTATTATGAATAGATGGTGTTACCAGAACTCTGCCATAGGGCAGTTTACCCCATTGGAAACTTGTTTTTGTCTGATTCCTTGAAAGATTGTAGTATTGCCCATGGTTACTGGGTTTTTTTAGAAAATGGGAATTGTATGCCTTTTTTATTTTGTAATACCTTCTAATTTTGGTTCATATATTATGATTTACTTGCTTTGTAATGTTCTATATTTATGTTCGAGAAACGTGAAGTACTTGTATAAGATTTTGAAATAGGTCTTGTGTTTTGTTTGGATTGAATAACACCTAATTTTGGTTCATATGTGTGATTTATTTTCTTTAAATCATATTCTGACTTTCTCGTTTGCTATCCTAATTTCTGGTTCTTGTGAACATTATCGTTATGTGTATTTATAGTTGTGTATACCACAACATGCTTGTTCTATTCTGTTTTACATAATGTCATGAATGTGGAATCATTAAAAAAAAGACTGCAGCCTTCAAATTTTTGTAATTTGCTATAATTGCTCTGGCCATCTATGTGCATTGAAATGCTATGATGAAGGGGTTAGTTTTTTACAAGAGATGATTAGTTTAGTGAAAACTATAATTTGATCAATCAGAGGCAAGAGAATATCTTTCATGTAGTTGCCAGTTGGTGAATGGATGAATGGGCAAGTTTATAATTAACTTCTCAAAACATTGTGCCTCTTTTGTAGGGTCACGAGCTTATGGCTAGGCTTAGTTGTGAGAGGTTTGTCAATTCAAACACCAAAAGAGAAGGTTGCTACTAGCTAGTCAATTCTTGTGTCCAATAGAAATGGTTAAAATGGATGATAATGCTCATCATAGATGCCAAAGAACATAATCATTTTACTTGCAGAATTGAAAATTCTTTCCCTCACCAGACAAGATACAATATCATGCCCACCCTCTGTGTGTGTGTACATGTATTCTCTTCAAGTTTCACACCTTAGTATTAGTAGCGTTCTCATGTCATATTTCAATCACCATGCATGTATATTATATATATATACATGCATGGTGTGAAACTTGAAGAGAGTACATGGCACCTAATGGACAAGTGGTGAGATCCAGGTAAATACAATTTTATCCCTGGCTAAAGATGCTGTGGTTGTGGACCATGAAGTCACTATCACTATATGTGAAGCATCTAGCTCTACTAGTTCATATGCTGTGTTTGTATGCACATATATTGCTCTAGTTGCCCGGTAAGAACAGGTACATGTCAATATCAGCAAGCACATATTACATACAGAGACAAAAGCATCAAACAATTAAATAAGTCGTCATAACAACAAATGCTGCTAATGGATTGCCAGTCATCATCAGATGTGTAATGTGTTTGTTCATAAATATCTTTGTTAGTAAATGTGAGGTCAGGTCCCATTCATCTCATGTGGGAATAGGGTTGTCTTCTTGTGGGGTCCTTTTCTACTCTGGGTGTTTGCAAATTTGCAAGGGTAAATTCAAAGCAAAAGCCTCTCTGAATTTGTATGCACGTGGTTGTCTCTCTTTCATATGACAAAAGTTAACATGAAAATGGGAAAGTGGCATATATTCTTTTTCATTTTTGGATGAGAGATGGTTCAGAATCAGGACCATATGATCCCGGCCATTCCATGGTTTCAGCCAATCTGACACATTTACTTGCATGTAGAGTTATAATTGACCGAAATCATCTAATTGAGTTATAATTGATCGGAATGATGTAATGCTTTAAAATTTTCTTGATTTTGGATGGTTGGTTGGATGCCTTTGTAGATAACTTTATTTTTCAACCGGTAGAGAATTAGATTTTATTCTATGCACATCTTTGATACCATTCCTAGCATCTATAAAGATTTAGCGAAGATATTCGTATAGGATCTACATACGATGCAATACAAACATTTCTATCTTTACTTTTCAATGGAAAGACAAAAAGTAGAGCACAAATTGCTACATGCACCTCGATTGGCTCAAGACAAATTGAGGGTTAATATATAAAAGCGGTGCTATTCACTTTTGAGTAGTGATAGGAAAGGGAACATTAACACTCAAATAAAGATCGGAACCTGATTTGGTAGCTACGTCATTCCAGTATTTGTAAACACGTGATGTAATAAAGAATAATTCCGATTATTATGTGATGGGATCCGCAAAAACTCGTGAATAGTTGTATATGACATTATTCTTCAACAAATATACTTTTTTAGAAAGAAGATGATATTAGTGTCTAATTTTGTAAAAAAGATAATTGAGAAGAAATGAAATTAGGAACACTTTTGTTATTTTCTTTAATAAAATAAAACAGGAGGTCCATGTCTACTTTTGTAGACAACTGAAGTGTAGATATATCTCCTTTAATAAAGAATCTTTATTGCAAAATAATAATAATAATAAAGAGCAAATAAATAATATCTAAGTGAGACATTTTAATATATACTAATTAGACCTTAATTAAGTAAGGCTCTTTCTTATTAGGCTACCCATCTTAATAGCAACTTTATAATAATTATTATTATTATTTAACATCAAAGTGTGTGTGAGTGAGTGAGAGAGAGAGAGAGAGAGAGAGAGACAAAATGCTATGTGCACCTCGGTTGGCTCAAGGCAAATTGAGGTTTAATATATAAGAGTGGTGATATAGGAAACCGAACATTAACATAGGAATGAAGAGCCGAACCTAATTTAACAGTTATATCATCCCAGAATTCCTAAACGCGTGATGTAATAAAGAATAATTCTTTTTATTGCGAGTTGGTTGTCCCGATTATCATATGATACGGGGATCTACATAAACTCGTGAGATAACCTGACTGTCAGAATATGACATTACTGTTCAATTAAAATACTTTATTACTGTTCAATAAATATACTTTATTAAAGAAGATGGTATTACTGTTTAACTTTGTAAAAAAAGTAATCTAAGTAAAAATGAAATTAAGAAAGCTTTTGTTATTTTCTTAAAAAAAAAAAAATAAGACAGAAGGTGCATGTCGACTTTTGCAGACAATTGGAGTGTAGATATCATCTCCTTAAATAAAGAATCTTTATTGCAAAATAATAATAATAATAATATATAAAGAGTAAATAAAGAATAACCTAAGTGAGGCATTATAATACATAGTATGTGATAACTAATTAGATCTTATTTAATGAAGGCTTTTTTTATAAGGCGATTGAGAGTCTCATTGCATTTAAGGGTTATGAACTTATGATATTGACCATAATTCTGAGATATTTAATATTTTCTCCGGGCACCATCTTAACGGCGACTTTATTTATATTTATTTTTATTATTATTATTATTATTTAACATCAACGTGTGAGAGAGAGAGCTAGAGCTGACGTGTGATCTAAAATCTTATTGATTTTTCTTTTCTTTTCTTTTCTGTTTTATTTGGATAATTGTGGGATGGACTGAACACATGAACAGCTGTAATATGGCCACCATTTTATGGGCCTCGACGGGTCTTGTTTCGGACTTGTTACTGTTAGGCCTTCTTTTGAGGCCACGATATTTAACTGTTTGCCCCTTTTTGCATGAAGGCCTTTCCAGTATCACAGTGTCACTACAATCTTGAATTCCTTGATTATTGATTAATAATTCTCTGATTATTATTCCCTCACATAAATGTGATTATACTAATTAATTCAACCTTACTATCCTTTGAAATCAAGGGACAATGGCCTTGATTAATTATCATCTTCTTCTTTCTTCTTTTTTCATAATGTGTTTTTTTTTTTTTCCACGATCGATACCCTTGTAAATTCAAAAAATTATATGTAATTTTCTGCATAAAAATCATTATCACTCCTACCAATCAAGCTTACCTGAAATGTTTGCCCACATTAGGGTAAGGGATAATATGACTATTGTAGCTCATTGTAGTGAGTCGTAACCCTGGGTCTCGCATGCAGTCTTGCTGACATGCGGGCCTCACACAAGCTCACCGGCAATTCAAAAGGGTCCTCAATATCTGAAAACTGGCTCTTTATCTCTCTTTTTATTCAAAATGGCCTCATAAATAAAAAAATAAAGTACAGAGACACCCTTTGAGGCTTAGGGTAAGGCCATGCACATGAAAGTTTACCTATTTTTTGACAGTGACATCCTTTCAAGTTTGAAAAATGGACAAAGAGATCTAAAGATGGTGAATTGACCCTATTACCCTTTGAAATAAAATTAACATTTTGATTTGACTTA